ACCTCGGCCGGCACCTGCATGGACCAGCGCTGCGCCGGCGCACCTGCGGGCCGGGTGAGACCGGAGGCTGGAAGGCTGGGACTCCCGGAGAAACCCCCTAGAAACCCCTGGGAGGCCTGGAAACCACTTTTGATCTCAGGGGTGGCAGCTCCCTGGTCCTGTTCTCCCACGATGGGGTGGGAGGTGGGAAGCTGGCCTTCATTTATGGTGGTCGGCCTCACCCATAGACCAAGTGACCCCCACATCTCCCCCCTTGCTATTGCTTGGTGCCAGTGGCTCACTCCTACAGTCCTAGCTGAGATCCGAAGAGCTCAGTTGGAAGCAAGTCTGGGCAGGAAAGTCCATGCGACTTTTTTTTATTTTTTTGGTCGGTTGTGGGGCTTGAACTCTGGGCCTGAGCGCTGTTCCTCAGCTCTTCAGCTCAAGGTGAGCGCTCTACCACTTGAGACACAGCGCCACTTCCGGTATTCTGGTGGTTTATTGGACAACCTGACGTATTCTTCTTTGTTTTTGTTTCTTTTTGAGTCGATCATGGGGCTTGAACTCTGGGCCTGGGCGCTGTCCCTGCGCTCTTCAGCTCAAGGCAAGTGCTCTACCACTTGAGCCACAGCGCCACTTCCTGGTGGTTTATTGGAGATAAGAGTCTCATGGACTTTTCCTGCCCGGGCTGGCTTTGAACCGTGATCCTCAGATCTCAGCCTCCTGAGTAGCCAGTATTACAGGCGTGAGCCACTGGTGCCAGGCCCATGAGACTCTTATCTCCAATTAACCACCAAAAAGCCAGACATGGAGCTGTGGCTCAAGTGGCAGAGGGAAATGGTGAATGGAAAAGACTAAAGGACAGTGCCCAGGTCCTGAGTTCACTCAGTACCAGCACATAACAAAACTCGTCCTGCTGACTTAGTTGCCACTGTTACAACAGAGTCTCAGGATAGATGATAAAACCACTTACTGTGCACCTCGGTGTTGAGCAAATCCCCAGCAGTGTCTCTTTTAGTTCTTACAAATGATTCTAGAGATAAACAGAGTTATCCTAGGTTACATGTTAATAAACTGAGGCACAGAGAAGCTTGATAATTGTCTGAGCTCACAGAACGAAGGTCAATCAAAGCCAGGATTCACACTCTGTTCTGTAGCCTTTAGTGTAGTGTGCAAGAAGCACAGAGCCTTGGCTATGTGGCATTACACCACCACTGAGGGAGGGAAACTGAGGCCTCAGAGGGACACTGCTTTGAAGATCATGTGTTGAGTTGTTTTAGAATCAAGGTTTACTCTAGTAATTATTACCTCACTAATTTCTCAAAAAGTGAGTGCCTGGGTAGGAAACAGAGAGACCAGAATGGTTAAGTGCAGGTACCACGTGACCTCCTTGCTATGGTCCTCTGGACTCAATTTCCCCGCCTCCCAGTTTGTGAGCTACTATAGAATAGAGAGGCAAGGGCGGGGAGCTGAGCTCTGCCTCCAGCACATCCAAGGGCTGGGGAGCCACAGGGCCTTTTGTTATTGCTGCCAGACAGGATAGGCCAGGGGCAGTGTCTCCCCGAGGAGCGCAGGCAGGCTGCTCAGCCTGCCTGGCCAGTGCTCTAGGGCGCAGTGCACAAAAGGCACTTTAGAGGGAATAATATTGCGCTCTGCCCTTTACATCTATACCATGCCACGTGACCCATTCATGCCAGGTGCTGGGATATGAGCTGTGGCGACAAAGATGATGAACAGGACACCCAGTAAAGAAAGGCAGGACAGATACTGTTTTAGATGAGAAAATGAAGGTCCAGAATCACAGAAAGAGGGAGAGGTCCAGCCTTTCTGACGAAGCCCAGTGTACTTTTCTGACTCGAAGCCCCATCCACTCTTTGGGCAGGAATCTCCTCCACCCACAAGGGGCAACCGACCTGCCTGCAAATATCCTACAGCTCAGGACACTCCTGCTGCTGGAATCATGCCTAAGATCCCAAGACTAATGAAGCACACACATCCTCTTCCTCCTGCTGGCCCTTCCAGGATCCCATCATGGTCACCTGGACTACTGTGCCCTATGCCTTCCCTTTTCTGGTGGCAAAGTCCCCGTTGCTAACCTGCCTTCCCCATCCTCCTTTTCCTCTCTCTGTCAGGTTGTGTCCTGACTCAGGTGGGCTGTACCTCAGAGCGGGGTGAGCCGGCAGTGCTGCCTCAGGCTGGGAGTCATGCCTACAATAAACCACACTGTGCGTGCATGCCCAGCTTATGATCAAGAAAATCCACAAGTTCTTCCCCCACTCTCCCCATACAACTACTTTTATGCTTAATCTCTTTTGTTCTTAACAAGTAGGATTATGAGTTGTTGTTTAAACCAATGGAGAACTTGGCATTTATCCTTAGTAAGAGCTGGTTTTCTCAGTTGTTAATAATCAGAAGGCCTAGTTTCAAATTTGGGCGAGGCTGGGTGGGTTCAGTCTCAAGGTTCAGCTCTGGCCTCCCTTTCCCTGCCTCTTCCCGCTCTGTGTGACCTCAGCTTCCTCTGATCTCTTGCAGCTCAAAGGCATCAGAGAGTTAGGAACGGATTCTCCACAGATTATTTGCTATGTGCACTCATCAGTTCAGCAAACATTTATTGGACACTTCCCCACTCCATGCCAGGTGCTGGGATCTGAGCTGCAGTGACAAAGAAGACCAGGATGCCCTGTCACCCTGCTGGAGCTCATGCCTCCAAAAGGGAGACAGATCTGTGAATACATAATTGCACTGCAGTCTGCCAGGGGCTCCAATGATGACCGTGAACAATGTCACCTCTGTCTGTGCATGGTTCCAGGCCCATTTTCACTCACTAGCTTCCTCCTGTTTCTCTGCTGAGTCGTCCCCACCACAGGAGTCCTTTCCGGAGCCTCAAGCCTGATTCTGGCATTCCTGTCCTGTACCCTAGGATAGCACAACCACTTCTTCAATGTGGGCATCACCCATCTCAACTATGTGTCACTTCACAGCCATGGGAGGTCAGGAAAGAGCCTGTGCTTTATTTGTGCTACTGTTATCCAGCACAATTTCTGCCCCTGGTAATCGATACTGAATTGTAGAAGGGATGGGAGTGGCTGGAGAAGGTGTGCAGAGAGGGGGCAGGCAGTTGGAAAGCCCACCAGAGAGGAGATGTGTGTTTAGAGAGCCTAGAGAAAGGAGAGGATTGCACAATCATATTCAGGACACAGATAAGAGCAGAGCAATACCATGAGGCATGGATACCTTAGGGACATAGAGATTGTAGAATATGGTGAGAGGAGGCTGGATCTCTGACGAATGGGAGATGGTTAGAAAGCTTTCTGAGCTCATTTAAAATTCACAATAGAGTCAGGTGTCAGTGGCTCAGGCCTGTAATCCTAGCAATTCAAAAGGCGGAGATCTGAGGATCATGCTTCAGAGCCAGCCCCTGCAGACAAACCCATGTAACTCTCATCACCAATTAACCAGCAAAAAGCTGGAGCTGGAGGTATAGTTCAAGTTATAGAGCACCCGCTTTGAATGGAAAGGCTAGGGGAGAGTGTTAGGCCCTGCGTTCCTAAAGGGGTGTGACTCAAATGGTAGAACCTGCCTAAAACACACACACAGATACATATAACAAACCACCACAACAAAAACCAAAACAGCAAAAATTTAAAGGTTAAGTTTGCCAACTCTGAGAAAACAGGGAGTGAGACTTGATGAGGTCATTTGACCAACCCATAGTAGAGGTAGAGCTTGCCCCTGGGTAGTTTTGCCATCTTCGTTCATGTTGTTACCTTTACACCCAGCACTGTTGCCCGAGGACTGGTTTGAAACACCCTGAAAGGGGCGCCAAATGGCAGGTGTAGCCCACCCTCCCTGGTGAGTTTCACTGTACAAGTGAAGGACACACAGGTTCTTTCACTGAGAGGTCCAGGCTTGGCTCCTATTAGGAGGGCATGTGTATGCTTCCTGTTTACCTCCTGAATGGGGTTCAAAGGGGCGGGGCCTGACCTTTTCCTTTGACACAGGGACCTCTGGATGAGGCTGTCCCAGGGATTCAAGGTGAGAGCAAGAAATTCTCAGCAAGAATTGCCCAGGAAACAAAGATGTTTGCTTTGGCAGAAACCTCAGCATCTGATGGCATTTACCATTGCCTCGGGCAGCTCATGCCTGTAAGCGAAGACTGCAGGGATGACTCTTAGATTGGAACTATCCCTTACAGTAAGGTCTCTAACCAGTCTACCTCATGTTTGACCACCTCCCAGGGTCAATAAGAATCTCACATATGGGACTATAGAGAGCACATCAGCTTTGGAACAACTGGACTTCCAGAAAGACCATCACACTTCTGGTCATTCTTTCATCAGACCCTGTGTGTGTGTGTGTGTGTGTGTGTGTGTGTGTGCATGCACACCACACATGCACTGGGATTTGAACTCAGCCTTTCATACTTTAGCTTGGAGCACTCTACCACTGGAGCCCACCTCTAGTCTTTGCTGGATAACTGGAGATAAAAATCTTGTGGATTTGTCTTCCCTGTGCTGTCTTTGAAACTCCATGCTCAGATCTCAGCCTCCTGCGTAGGATTATAGACATGGGCCACCAGCACTCAGCTCAGCAGGCTTCCCCTCCCCCCGCCTCTTTTTCTTTTTTTCTTTCAGTATTTGTGCAAAGAGGTTTCAACAGAACATGCGCGGTTCTGAGTACAATGCATCTTGATCAGTTTCACTCCTTCCATCATTCTCTCCCTGCATCTGTCATAAGTCTCAGACTTTTATCAGACCCTCAGTCCCTGCCTGGCACTGGTTTAGGGAGATCATTTGGATAAGTTCCTACTATCTCAGGTCTCAAGCTCCTCGTTTATAAAATAGGTACCATAACAATTCTGCATAGGATTGGAGAAACCTCACATGGAGGTCACCTGGTGATACCTGAGAAACAGTAAGCTCTCTTTTCTGACTGGTCTTCCTCAACCCTCCAGGCTTGCCAGCTTGCCCTTTAACCCTTTCTTCTTCCGTATGTAACTGTGCTTGTGGCTGTGGCTATGACCTGCGTAATCTGAAGTAAGATGAGGAGTCACAGGCTATGCCTGTCCTGGGCCTGTGCCCTCCACAGGACACTGCTTCTCAGAGTTCTGATGTAGCTGGTGCCTGCCCTGAGCCCTGGGCCTCTGCTGAGTGGCCCTGCTCCTCTTTCCTTCTCCCTTCCCTGGACAAAGCATCCAATGGCAGCAGAGAAGTCCTCACTAAGCCCTCCTACTTCCTCTTGGTCCAGCACAGCAGCCCTGCACCTTCCTGACCTCTTTCTGCATCCCAAATCAGCACCTCCAGGTGTGTGGGTGATGGCTGCTATCGCTCTTGCCATTCTGGTTTTCTGCAATAATTAAGATCTAGTAAACAAATGCCTCTTAGCACCAAGTTTTGTCTCAGTAATCTTAATGAGGGGTTGGGCATGCTGTCAGAAGACTTCCATCCACATCTAGGCTGTGACATCCAGCAAAACCATTGAATCTCCCTATTCCAGCCTGCCCTGGAATAGGAATGAAGATCCCCTCCTTGCAAGCTGGTGGTAAAGAGTAACTCAGTTGTTGGTCAACAGCCTTGCCCAAAAAGGGCCCCAAGTAGCAGCTACGGTAATAGCCACACCAGTGTATTTGCAGCCCTCAAGGTCATCTAAGTGCGCAGAGCTCCAAGGGCAGTGTCTATCCCCTTGCCCTACACTTTCTGGCCTCTCCAGTTTTCAAAAGCCAGATTTTGGAACGCCTGGAGAAATGAGTCTTCTGGGCATGAAAGAGGAGGGCAGGGGAAGTGGAATTTCTGGGATGAATCCTCTCGCTTCTCTTTGCCCTGGGCCCTGCTTTACTGGACATGAACAGAGCATGGCCCGGGACCACATTAGCACAGTACCCTATTCATAAGGGCCTGGGGTCTGCACATAGCAGTTGAACCTATTGGACTTGACCTCAGGGTCTCCCACCTTAGAAAGCCACCTTTTGTCCTCTGGTGTAGCCACATGGATAGGCTCAGGTGAACAACAACCAAAAGGGGTTCAGGAAGTGGAGTTTCTGGATCACCCTGATTCACGAGGCTCATGGTTTTTACCAGTAAAGTGGTTGCTGGTATGTGAAGAAAAAGGCCAAGTTGGTTTACAATCTCAAAACACAGCTACAAATGGCTCATATTTCTAATACTAGCTACTCAGGTGGCCAGTAACTGGAGGAGGATCATGGTTCAATGCCAGCTCAGGCAGAAAAAGTGTGAGGACTCCATCAACAGTTAACCAGCAAAAAGCCAGACTGGAGGTGTGGGTCAAGTGGAAAAGCACCAGCCATAGGCATAAAAAGCAAGCTGAACAAGTGCAAAGGCCCTTAGTTCTAGTTCCAAGATTGGGGGCGGGGGGAGGGATGAAGGAAGAAAAAGCAGGGGATAGGGGAAGGAAAGAAAAAAATAGCTTTAGCATATGTAGTTCAGTTTTGGTTCTTGAACATGTGACTAGCCTACTCATGCTTCCTCAAAATTTTGTCTTTAACTGATTCATAGCAGCTGACCCTCTGAGGGAGAGAAAAGAACTAACTCAGAGTCCCAGTTCCCAGGACTATCTCTCTCAATGTTCTGTGACTTGATCAGCTTTGGGCAGACACAGACCCCTATGCTGCCAGCTCCTCTTCCCTATCTGGTTATCCTGGAAGGTTGACTGACAGCTCAGAATGCCACAGGCTCAGCAAGTGGCCCCTGCTTGCACAGGCTATGGTGACACAGGTGCTGTGTCCAGGAGTGCAGCTCTGGGAGACTTCTGGGACTAGGATTGGCAAAAAGACTGGCTTTGAAGAGAGGAGTTTATGAACCCTTTGCCATTTGTCTTTATTGCTCTCATCAGAATCTCCTCAGTAGCTGGGCCTTGATGCCCGATCTTCTGAAACTGTGGTTGAAGCTGAAGCCAATGGATTTATTTTATTTCTTCCTCTCTTCTTTCTGGAAATTGGAACCTGAGCCTTGCACCTGCTAGGCAAGCACTCTACCACTGGACTATACACACACACACACACACACACACACACACACATATTGCCTAGCCAGAATTTGCATTTTAATAAATATCCCCCTCTTCTGGGATTCTGATGCGGAGGGTCCCTGTGAGATGCTTGTGAGAAGCTCTGGTCCTAGGGATTCCAGTCCACTGAGGTAAGTGACGTTATTACTTTATCCTGCCACCAATACTTGCCTCCACTTGTCTTTATCCTTGGGCCTGATTCCCCACAGGAAATCATCTCCATCCTTGCCCCAACACTGTCCCCAAACAACTATGCATTTTCCTCCCCTTATCCTCAGGACAGAGCTCATTAAGACCTAAACCACTGGCATGACAGCATCACCCAAAGCATGTCCAGAGTCTGTGTTACCTTCCCCATTCAGAGCCCCCTATTTCCCAACCGATGCAGATAGGGGAGGTGGTCTTTTACAGTGGAAGTCAATGAGGCCCAGGAGGTCAGGGGGCTGGCCTCAAGTCTCCTGGAAACCTGACAGAGCCCAGATTTGAACCTATAACTCTTGTCACCACAGCCCTGAAATGTGTTGCCTTTCTTCCTGCAGCAGCAGGACAACCTTAGCTTGAAGTGGGGATGGGGGAGGTAGGGGGGGAGGCCATGGCCAAGATGACCTATTCTGGGCCAGATTGACCAGTGAAACTCACCCGTTGGGATGACACACGACAAGCAGGCCAGGAGTCTGATGGACCCTTCCATGCTGTAGCAGCTGGACCCGAGCAACATCACGTCTGGCTGGGTCACCAGCGAGAGACCCCCTTGGGCATGAATGTGATGAAGGTGGGTGGGTGGGTGGGTGGGTGGTGAGCCCTGGTCTTCAGACCCCACTGGGTTCCTTGTGAGCTGGAAGAACTGAGGCCAGGCAGCCTGGCGGCTGCTGGTGTGATTAGACAGGACCCGTGGGGTTTAGTCATGTGGAAAAACCAAGAGAGGAATTGCTGGGATAATGTTCAAGGACAGGACAAAGGGGAAGTCGATGGAGAAGGAGCAAGAGCCTCTCCTGTAGCCGCTGGCTCTTCCTTCCTTCTTTCCTGCCCTCCTTTCCTATAGTATCAATGTACCCAATGAGTTTTCTCTCTTTTGATCCCCTTTAAAATTTTGTTTAATTGTTATTATAAAGGTGATGTACAGAGGGGTGACAGTTACATCAGTCAGGTAAAGAGTACATTACTTAGCAGATTTTTTTTTTTTTGTCAGTCACGGGGCCTGAACTCTGGGCCTGGGCACTGTCCCTGAACTCTTCAGCTCAAGGCCAACACTCTACCACTTGAGCCACAGCGTCACTTCCAGCTTTTTCTGCTTATGTGGTGCTGAGGAATTGAACCCAGGGCCTCATGCATGCAAAGCAAGCACTCTGCCAAAGAGTACATTTCTTTTTGGACATTTCTTTTTTTCTCTTGCTGTCTCCTAGTTTTTCCCTCCTTCCCCTCCCACAAGCTGTATAGTTCATTTGCAATGTAGTGCATCCCCTTCTTTTTCAAGCTGTCTTCTAGAGAGGGTTTTTTTTTTTTCTTTTCAGGATATTGAGGGGATGAGCCTCAGTGAGCGAGACTAGGAAAGTTGTCAGTGTTTGCAAGAGAAAGACTGCATTAGCTAATGGTTTACTTTCACAATGAGAGTCCCCTCTGGAGGGACTGTGGTCTGAACAATACTTGTAAACCTTCAGTGGCCTGAAGGATCACCTAGACACAGCTGGTCTGGGGAAGAGCAGGCAGGAAATTTCCGTCTCTAACTAGTCCCAGGTGATGCCTAAGTTGGTCCTTCAGCTGCACCTCTGCAACAAGCTAAGAGGACTCTCCAGCCAGGGCCCGCTGTGTGGTACTCTCAGGTAGAAGCCAGGGCCTTGGGGAAGGGAGGGGATACCCGGAAGCTTTGGGATAGGCTCTTTTGTGGGGAGTAGAAGGAAGCTGATGGTGAGAGTGTCTGTGGATTGGAGTTAATTTATAATTTGGACTGGGATGAGCAACTTCTTTCAGGTAATGGGGGAGCAATGTGGTGCCTCCTTTGGACTCTTTTCTAAATTAAATTGCTAAGAGATAATTGAAGGCTAAGAGATAGAATGAGTTATAATGGGATTTGTCAAATTCATGTAAGATAAAAGCTGTCACTACTATTTAGCATATATTAATTGTACAAGGGGTTTAATCACATTAACATTCCTGTATATACTGTACTTTGTTAAATTCACACTCTATTACTCTTTGTCCCCAACCCTTTCCTTTCCTTTCCATGCCTTTCCTTCCATTTTCTTCCTTCCTTCCTTCCTTTCTTCCTTCCTTCCTTTTCTTTCCTCCTCCTCTTCCTCTTTTTCCTTCTTCTTCTCCCAAACAGAGAGTGAGTAGGAGGTGTCAGGGGAGATGGGTGGCAAGGGGAGAGCATTTCCTTTCCTTTCTTTTCTTCTCTTCATTTCTCTCCCTTCTCCTCCCCTCTCTTCATCTCCCTTTATCTTCTCCTCCCTACTGTTTTTTTCTTCCTCTTCAGTACTGGAGTCTGAATTCAGGAACTTACACTTGCTAGGTAGATGCTCTACTTGAGCCACAGAAACTGTAACTTTAATAAGATGTAAATGAGACCTTTAGTTAATCGCTAGAGTTGAGGAAATTACTATTATAGAGTCCTTGGCTTGGGATCATTGGCCAGTATATGAAGAAGTAGCCTCAAGTGTAGTTAGCCATTGCTCTTGGACAACGATAGTACAGGACGTTTGGCAAATTACACCCAGATATAGTGCACTGGTTCCCTTATTCCTGCCTGTTATTGTGTCCTTTCTGCCTGTCTGTACCATATCAGAGGAAATCAGGACTGGCCCTGAAAAGCTGGGAGTGTTATCACCCCCAAAGCTCTATCTTTGGGGGCTCAGAGGTGCAAAAGGCTATTTACAGGGAGGGAAGGTAGGAGCAGATCTGGAAGGCTCCATGCTGAATAGTGTCTTCATTATCCAGGGTGTGTGTCCCTTTTTTCTTCTTTATTGCAGAGCCCCATGATGGATGGCAGTGGGGCTGCTTCTGTAGCTCTTTACAGACAACATTCTCTTCTGCAAGTTCAAGCTCACATCAACTTCTGTAAGTTGATGCTTTGAACTTAAAGATTGAGGATGGCTCTACAAAGGTCACCAGATGTTCTGGGTTATGTAAATGGACTGCAGGATTGTTTAGCAGTTGCCATCTTAACCAGCTAGGTGGGGTTTCTCTCCAGAATTTAGAATGCTGGGAAAAAGAGAGGGGATGACGTAAAAGGATTAGGGAGGACAGCACGGTAAGCGAGGGTAAACTCTGCTGAGGACAACTCCCCGCAGGAGTGGCTCTGTCACACCTCTCAGGTCTTCTCTTATCACTTCAGGCCAGGCTTTAGTTTATAACAAGCATTATGAAAGTACAGTAACAGAGTAGAAGTTTTACCTGGGAGGCTAAGCAGGTGTTCAGGATCATCTGATGTCAAAACTTGGACTAGGTCTCTGGTGTCCAGTTACGTATGTGTATAGAAATATGTCAGTATAGTGTATGCTGATGCTGGTTTTTAAAGAGATCTCTTTGTCTTTCTAAATTAAAGTCTGTTCTACTTGGCTGCTCCAATGTCCAGGAAACAAGAGTGAGGAAGGAATCAAATTTATTTAAGGTCTGCCAGGGTCTGTGAGTCTCAAAGCTTTATCTTGGGAAGGCACAAAAGACTTTTATAGGGAGGAAAAGGAGGAGCAGGTCGGGAAGGCTCCATGTTGAGTAGGATTTTCCTTATCTAGCGCTTGTGCCTCTCTTTTTCTTTTTCTCTGAGACGGCCTTTTTAGTTTTTCTTCAGAGCATTGCAATGCACCTCCAGCTAGAGTATCTTCTGAAGGTTTCTTTTTCTTTTCCTGTCTTTCTTTCTTTATTGGTTGTGGGGTTGAACTCAATATGGACACTGTCCCTGAAGTTTTTTTACTCAAGATTAGTGATCTATCACTTTGAACCACAACTCAACATCCAGTTTTCTGGTGGTTGATTGGAGATAAGAATCTCATGGGGGCTGGGAAGGTGGCTCAGTGGTAGAGTGCTTGCCTTGCATGCTTGAGGCCCTGGGTTCGATTCCTCAGCACCACATAAGCAAAAAGAAAAAAGCCAGAAGTGGCACTATGGCTCAAGTGGTAGAGCGCTAGCCTTGAGCTGAAGAGCTGAGGGACAGCGCCCAGGCCCAGAGTTCAGGCCCACGACCGGACCCCCCCCCCCAAAAAAAAGAATCTCATGGATTTTCCTGTCCGGGCTGGCTTCGAACTTCATTCCTCAGATCTCAGCCTCCTGTGTAGCTACGATTACAGGCTTGAGCCATCAGTGCCCATCTCTTTTTTGCTTTTCTCTCTCTCTCTGACAGGATGTAGATGTAGGATTTAATGGTGGGCATGATTAAAATGGAAGCAGCACAGTGGGTGGGCTCACCACTTGTCCAGGAGACTATGTTGGGGGACATGTTTGATCTTACTGCCTTTATGCATAGGATGCTTATATATCTACATTAACTATTCACTTCCATGAGGTATAGGATTTCTGGTGGCCAGGACCTAGAACTAGCCTCAATCACATATCCTTTGTTTTTCAGCTGATGGCCATGATGAATTGGCCAATGGCCACCATGTCCTGGGGTTTCTAAAAGTGTCTTTCATACCTGTCTAGAGAGTGGGGACAGCATGACACCAGAGACATGAATGTCCCCTGGAAAGCCCCCTGGTCTTTGGGAGGCCCTTAGGGCATTACAGACAAGCAATAGGTGGTTTGTATTACCAAGGAGGCTGCTGTGTGCCACCAATGCACACTGTAGCTCTTTTTAGACAGACACATTGCTTTTCTGCAAGTTGACCTTCCATTGGTGTTCATGCTTTCTGTTTGCTGATGCATAGAACTAAAGACTGAGGAAGGGTTGTTATAAGGTCACCAGATGTTCTGGGTTCTGTAAATCCAAAGAAGGCTTGTTTAGCAGTTAACATCTTAACACTGATTAGGTGGGGCTTCCCAATAGACTGCAAAGGGATTAGGGAAGGGCGGAAGGGCAAAGGAGAGAGAAGCAAGTAACTCTGCCAATGACAACTACTCAAAGGAGTGGCTCTGTCCCACCTGGGCAGACTCGCCTGGGCTTTACATGTAGGGTGATTGTGTAATTTATTATTGAAGTTAGATCACTTTTGTCTGGGACAAATGGTAAACTGTCAGGATATTGGTATAGTCGTCATGAACCGAGATCATCCTGGAAGACCAGACATAGAAGCCCGTTTTTATTTTTTCCCCTTTTCTAGAAACCTCCTTTCCTATTGTCCTTATTGCACAGTGTCTTCAAAGCATTATGAAGCTACACCTGTCATTCAGGACTTGCTGTGATATTTCCCCTGCATTTTGGGTAGACAAGGAAGGGGATAGGAGTCCAAGCACAGATTGTCATATTTAGGATGGCTTCACATGTGATTTTTTTCCCCCTCAACCTTGGGAAACAAGTACACATTCACTAGAAACTTCATATCAAATTCTGAATGTTAATTTTCCCCCCAGGCTAGTGATGTGCAGTCTGATCTTCCATCAAGATTACCTTACAGGTAGAGGCAATGAGGCACACTTCCCTTCAGCCATGAGATTATGAGGGTGAGTAACTGACAGGCAGTAAGGTGCTGTGTGACTAAACTATGATGCTCAGTATCTTAGGTGTATTAAATACATTTTCATCTTATGTTGTTGTCAACTTAG